TAAGCGGTCACACATACCTTTTATGCATTATTATAGGACCTTTGTGGTATGTCTTATGGAATGTATAAGCACAAACGAAGTGACAGACGGAGCGGCTCGAAATTTGGTTTGACGCACTTACATTTGAAATTTTCGAGTGTACCTCACGGCAACACTATCTACTCATATGTACTAGCTTAAAGTAGTTGATGCTATTGGGGCACCGCCTGTTATCTCTTTTTCTCTAACGAAAATTGAAAGGGAGAGCCTGTTGTCAAACTGCATGTCACTATGTTGTGTTCATTGTTATCTGCACTTTTTTTGTATAATGAAAGACCTTAGGCCAAAATGATTAGGAGTAAACACATCGGGTTAACATTTGCTTACAAATAAACGATGTTGAGCTGTCAATGACTCGCGCTTTTTGGCGGCAATTGTTGCTAAAGATTTCATCAGTCGGTGCTCCTAACCAAAGCCATGGTCATTCGCGACCGAGAAGATATCGTTGTTGGACGCCAAACAGGACCCGCCCGTAAAAAAAATCCAATAAAAATACAATGATTTTGAATGGAGATTTTTGTTGATTATCATAAAATCAAAACGAAAATCATGGTATATGAGAAATGTACAGTAAAAAAGGGGGGTTGTTACGAGGGGGGCGACACATCTAAATCTCAATGTTAAATGCTCAATAAATCTCACACTAGCGAATAAATCTTCGAAAAATCTTCTTTCATTTATCGCATCTACTTGCATCGCGCATCATCTTTTTGCAGGAAATCTTCAAAATCGTGATAAATCTTCTTTCTATCTACTCAGCGTACGCGCAGCTAGCCACAGCAAAACACAATATTTCCTGCATCGTAGATAGAGTCGTCCCCCTCGGGTTGTTAAGCATCTTAACAATAAAAAAACTGATTTTTCTCGAACAAATTTGATCTCATCAAATTAATTTTCATTGAGAATTGTATCTTTTAAAACGAAATTTATTTTTTCACCCGTCCAATAATTTAACAATAAATTTATAATGTGCCCGAAATTCAACCGTAAAAATCATTGTAATTTCGTTATTTTATTATAATTATTTTTTTTCGGGTGGCCATACTCGGTATGCATTTGCTCCTCCGTAGAGGAACTGAAAGCTCTCGACGAGGGCGATCTGAAGAAGGAAAATTTACTCCAAAATCATGCCGAAATCCATCGAATCGATCGACGTGCTGAAGGTGAGATGGTGAGAATGAAGGAGGATCGGATGAAACCAATTATGTTCAATTTATTATTTATTTCGGCTAAAGATGCTGTATGTCACGCGTTTGAGCATGATTGCGGTACGATGGTGCGATGCTCTATTCTGGACCGGGCTACTAGACGTGGCAAAACTAGTCATTATACCTGCTACGCGTACCTTGTTACCTGAAGACGAGGAGGGAATCTTCGGATTCATGGAGGAGGACATCAGAAATGAGGAAGCTCGTATCCGAGGACAAAAGTGTTACATCTGCAAGGAACGGTATGCAAACGTTTGGTGTTGCGCGAAGAAGTGCTTCCGTTCATTCCATACGCTTTGTGGGATGCAGAATGAGTGCCTGTCGCATTACGTGGAAACGTTCCAGTCGTGGTGCGATAAGCACGTAGCGCTGGTGGATAAGGTGAAACACTCCGAGACCGAAGCCTGTGGGATTTGCTACGATGATATGGGACCGTACAGGAAGCTGGAATCGATTCGTGACCTGTGCTGTCAGAATGGCTGGTTCCATCGGAGCTACGTGGCACAGTTTGCCCAATCGGCGAGGTACTTTTTCAATTGCCCTTTGTGCAACAAGGACGACTTTAGTCAGCAGATCCATCAGCGTGGCATTTATATTCCGGAAAATTAAGCGAAGCGGCGGAGGTGGGTGAATCAGTATTTGAATACTGAATATTTTATTTTAATTGTTCGAGGGATGCCTCGTGGGAGCTGGAACCGAATGTATTCAACGATCAGTTGGAACGTCCTTCGGAGTGTGACGCTGAAGAGTGTCGCTGTCGGTATGGGCGAGATTACGACGATTGCAAGCGTTGGGATCTGATCCTTTGTGCAACGTGCGGTTCGACTTGTCGCCAAGATCAGTGCATGGAGGTTCCCTCGAAGAACTATGTTTTCACCTTTTGTCGTCCGATTGTCCGAAAGACGCCGGAAGCGGTTTTGAAGCTAGCCGAGGCTTCCCGAAGAGTGGAAGCAGCAAGATGGGGGAAGCCGGTAACGATAGCAGAGAGGGGAGTTCTAGGGGCCGATCTAGTGGCAGACGTCAGATTGAATCGGATGATTCAGATTCTGAAGAGTCAGTTGCATTGACGACCAAACGCAAATCTCAGAAAAGACGAACCGCAATAGACAGTGACGACAGCGATTCCGATCTGGTTTCTACACGAAAGAAACCAACGTCGAAATGACGGCTGTCCACGTCTTCATCTAGTTCTTCCTCGTTCGTTTCTTCGAAACGAAGAAATCAGTCTGGAGGAACTGGTCAAGAAGATTCCACTGCCACGACGAACTTCTGTCGAAAAATTACTTCGAGTCAAACCGGTCGTAAGGCTCGAGAAGCTCAGCTCGGAAAAGATCAAATCGTTGACTTCTTCGGAGAATGAAGACGAAGCATCCTCCGCCGGATCGTCGACCGTGTTCGATTTCAACTATCGTGTGAAGTTAAACAAAAAGCAGGGCCGAAAATCGATGGTAGAATTGCAGCCGATCAAACAGGTCATCCGCTCCGACACGAACACGCTAACGGATGCCTCTGTGGAGATCGTGCGTCCCAAGACGCCTGCCCAGAAATCTTTTGGAAAGCAGTTCAAACTGAAGCTTTTTGGGTCGAAAACCGTCCCACGAAAACGTTCCACCAGCGAGTCTGATCCGGAGTACGTTACAGCGAAGAAAAGTTGATTTAATTTTAATGACGAACTTGCAGAATTTTCCAGCACTAGTGCACTAAGCAGGTCTTTCCCACGGCGCAATAGATTACTGCCAACAGTGCCACCTCAAGCGGAAATGCGATTCGAGACCGGGTTGACGTTGATGCTCAAAAGCGAGAAAATGTTCCGGATTTCTCTACCCATGCGAATGTCAGCTGGTATCACACTGCTTACAGGTACTGAGGGAGAACCTTCCAAAACTTCTAGTGTTTGGACTGGTGGTATGGCACAAAGAATGCACAATGCACCACGAACCGACGGAGAATCGTATGTGCTGTGATCAATGTGATTGGTGAGTAGGGTGCTTCATTCTGAAAAAAGTGATGAATTTCTGATGGGCCACCCTCCAGTTCGATTCATAGCCCCAAAATATGAACCTGTGCAAAAATTGGTAAAGATTGATGAAGGTTTAGAGGTCGCGCCAATGATTTGAAATTTGTATGGGAATTACTATGGAAGAATTTAAAAAATCGCTTATATCGCTATAACTTTGCTTCTACTTGTCCAAATGTCGAAAAAATTTAGTATGTTATTGCTATGGCAATAAACAAAAAGCCTACAGTTGCTACGCTCAGTTTTGCAGCGTATCAAGAATTATAAAAATGTGAAAAAATGGCAAAATAGGGTAAATTGACAGATGAATATGTACAAGGCAACAACGCCAATTTCATCGCAACAACAACAGGCTTGTTGATCATTGTCATGACAACCACATATTTTTTTTTTTCAACGTTTGGACAACTACAACCAAAGTTAGAGCAATGTAAACGAAAATCAATAATTTCCCATACTAATTCACCAAAATCTCCATACAAAATCCAAATCATTGGCGCGACCTCTAAACCTTCATCAATCTTTACCATTTTTTGCACAGGTTCATATTTTGGGGCTATGAATCGAACTGGAGGGTGGCCTATCAAAAATTCATCACTTTTTTCAAAATGAAACACCCTATATGGTGAGGCAGAAGGAAACAAGCCAGCACTTGCATTATCACGACGTTCTTATGCATAATCTAGTGTGACGAAACGTTGGATCATGCGTAAGAACCAGGGGCCTGGCTGATAGCCATGTTTTTGATGCTATCATCTGCTCTTGTCTTCCTGGTTATAACACGATTTTCTGTCCCTTTCTGCCATGTATACGTCAGGCGGGCCGTATTTAAATAAGGCCCGTGATGTTGCCTACTGTCAAACGTATAGGATTGATATAGGGTTGCCAGCCCCCTGGTAAGAACACCGTGAGAACGACAGAGTCGACTACATTCCTTCTGCCGCACCTATAGTAACGCACACGGCTCCCGCGCTGACTGTTCCTTACTTTCTCACTCTAATCAAAATTTCCTTCGATGAGTGAGAAAACAGCACCCCGTCAACACGAGCAAGGACACGAGTTGCCAGATCATTGCACACAAAACCAACTTGAATTAATTCAAAACAAAAATACTAGCGAACCTGGCGGTGAGGGGCGGAAGGTGGACTAAAATTCTATTACAGAGAACCACATTATTTTAATTCATTTCTTCGGAGAAAGTCGTCTGTAACTTCGTTTGTGGTATAAGGCTGTTGTTTTGGCAAAAATGTATAAGTGAAACATATGCATAAAATAATTGATTTTCGTTTCGTGTAGTTAAGTAGAGAGCCAATTTAAAAATCGTTAGTTTCCACCTGTTGGTAGTAGCATAGAGGCAACTCTAAGACTAGAAGGTCCCGAAGAAACGTGCTCAACTTTTTGGCTCAGCTCTGGTACTCTCTTCGGTCCCAATCGATTCACCCCGCGAAACATAGGAAAATTCACTAGCCCCTCATTTTATCTGTTAAACTTTCATGCACGCGGTAACCAAGGCCAACATTAGAGCCATTTCCCCTACTCGATTTTTCATTAGCGTAAATTTAACTTGAAATATTTCGTGCAGATTCATATCCCTCACCAAGCTGTTTGACAACCGTCCACTCCCCCGTAATTATTTATAAATTTGACAGAAAGGACAGATATCAACTTTTTCGAAATGAATAAAATGGAATAAAACAAGCAAAAGCGGCTTTTATTTGTGTTAATTTTGTGGTTGTTGTTCCATGTCCTGGTGCCGTGCCGATGTGAAATCCGTTTTTCATCCCTTTTGAAGCATGTCCAAGCGCCGTAATTTATTGGATTCCGCCGAAAAACGTAAGCGACCTTTAACAGTTGTATACAAATTTTGAACCTTCATTGTATGAAAATGCTTGCCAGGCCGTTCTCTTCAAAATGTTGCTGTTGCCCGAGGACGTCTCAAGGGAGCGCTGGCGGACATCGTGACCCACAGTGACGATGAGTCCGATTCGGATGATTCCCATGCAACTCGCCAATCGAAACGATCCAAAACCGTAACCTCGGATTCCATCCCCATCCCACATCAGTCGTACATCATGAAACTTTTCGATCGCAGCGTCGATCTGGCTCGGTTCGATGAATCCACTCCCCTTTATCCCATCTGTCGAGCTTGGATGCTAAATCAACCCAGAATGAATCCCAAACCCGTCCGGACACCGTCACCCGTGAAGCGAGAGTACAATCCCCAGATGGCCGAACAGTATCGTAATGGAGAACTGAAGGAAATTCGAGCGATGCCAAAGCCGGAAGCCAGTTCCGTCGAAAAGTATCCTTCACCCGTCGATAGTCAGCGGCGAGCTTCTAAGGATAAGCTTGATGCCAATTTGGAACCCGTTTCGAAGGCTGTCCTGCTGGAGGAACACAAGAAGCGCTGGGGCCAGGTTCGGCGGAACTGGGAACAGTATAACAGGGTCAAAGCCGAGCGGCATGAGGCAAGTTTCGAACTGCTGGATGCTTTGCTTAAGACGCAAGTTTGACGATTTCTTGCATGGATTTTAAAAATATGACTAAGTTTATCTAAATGTAGGTAGTTCTTATTTTATTATATTTAACAAACTAATCTTAACTTTTAAAAATAGTTTCCAAATATGGATCGATATAAACATTTGGAAAACAACAGAATAAAAACAGATCAGACATTATTTCTGAATGAGTTTTCTTTATCGAAGTCTGACGCTTGATGCGTTGATATTTTTTCTGGGAATTTGAAAATACTCAGGAAAATAATAAGGTTCTATGAACAACTAAAAACACTTTCACAAAACCGCGTATCAGTCACATATTTACTTGATTTATTATCCACATGGATTGCGATTCTGTTCTGGGTAGTGTATAGTGTGTAATCTGAAATGTTCATGAGATGAGGGTTTGTTAATTCTTACGTGCGTGAAGATTTTCTTTTCCAAAGAGTACTGTCCATAATTAGGCACTGTTCAACTATGGTGCTTGAACGACAGTTAAAATTATCTTTCAACTTAAAGGCAATAACTCCGTGGCAACATTTCAAAGGTGCGTAATTTTTTTGTGAACAATGGCTTCAGCCGTCGATTTCTCGCGAATAAAAGCCCACGCATGAAAATCAATGACACCACCAGGTAGAGGAATGTTTTCTCTACCAACTAGTATTGTTGATTTGGAGGAGTGAGCTTTTATTTGCGAGGAATCGACGGCTGAAGCCATTGTTCACAAATAAAATTACGCCCCTTTGAAATGTTGGTACTGAACTGTTACTGAGTCATATGAGATTGGTTGGTTCACTCAATCGTATGTGCTTTTCTCTGCCTAAGACTGGATGTTTTTTGCATCTTAGTTCAAATGTGAATTTTCATAACTTTCACATTCACTATAACATTATTTTAAAATTAAACAAGTTCAAAGGTTTCGCTACCATAAATAACATGCTAAAGATCATTGTCATACATTCGGTAAATCAGATTAAAAATCAAAAATCCCCTATTCAAGCATTTTGAACTGTGCGACTGATCTCGATCATCTCGAAAGTATTCCTTGTTAATCCTCGCGTAACATTTGAAACGGCACAAACTGTTACGCCCGAATTAATAACAGTTCCATGCCCTGTGGATTTCCTATCTACATGGGACTGTTATGCGAATGGCAGTAGTTTTTAGAAGTTTCAACACTTTCAAGTGCTTTAGATCAAATCCTAGAAAATTTCATTTAATGTCAAATCCTTCAGGAAAATCACTCAAAACATAAGGCCTACACGTCTAACTATAACAATTCTGCGACTGAAATCAATTGACTCAGAGCATTTTCTTTCCATACGAAATTTACTCATATTTGAAAAAAAAAACTGTAGCAATAACTGCAGTTTTTTTTTATATGAGTAAATTTCGGATGGAAAAAATATGGAAACGATCCAGTGAATCTTGATGAATGTGGGCGTCTTAGTGGAATACCTGTATAATGAGAGAGAGGATTAGTATTTTCCATTTAATTCCACTACTTTATTTGCTTATCCTTGACAGATACGCGTATTTCGTCTACAATGTGAAGACTTCTTCAGTGTCTTGTACTAATACTCGAGTATTAGTACAAGACACTGAAGAAGTCTGCAATTGTAGACGAAATACGCGTATCTGTCAAGGATAAGCAAATAAAGTAGTGGAATCAAATGGAAAATACTAATCCTTCTCTCTCTCATTATGATCCAGTGAAATCGAATATTGTGGGTCGCATCTTTATCGCCTACATTTACTTTTTTCACGCAAGCAGCTGCTCGTGAAAAGCACAGCTTAACGTATCGGGAAAGAGCGTATCAAATTCTGTTGGATTTTCAATTCACCGTAGGTGTAAACTGATCGATTTCACTCAATGTGAAATGTTAACTGCCAAAGGAGCATATTGAAAAATGTTCCTCAATCATTTTTACGTTTTTCGCTAGCGAAATTTTACGATTTTTCACTTGCTTCCAATTTCACTTCGCTTTGATCTATATACGAGGTTTTAATGGGTAACTTAACGAACCTACAGAAGAGATTTTAATAAGCTTTTGTCGAAAGTAATTGAACTATTCCGGATATCGACGTTCTACTGTAATTGTTTTTTAACTGCTGGGAAGTTACGATCCATTATCCGAATCAGCATCGATTTGCAACACTCAAAAACCGCACAGTACTGATCAACACATAATTCAATTCCTTAAATCTTCATAAAATCGCAAATGTCATCAAAAATAAACACCAAAGCCATACAACTTGCGCTGGTTTCACATCCTTCCTCTTTATTAGATCCCTTTGAAAATTAATTTTACGGATTTGTTGTCACTGGAACAATCTAACCTAAAAATAAAAGAAACAACATTCATGAAACCCTCCTCACAAGCAACAAACAATATTCAACTTACCCCCATCCAGTTGAGGTCAGAACGGAAACCAGCTCCTTCCCCGGTATCGTCTTAAATCCTAAACGGAATTCCACGGCACGGCAGAGCTTATCGCAATCTTCTGGCTTCACGTTCGGATTCCAGCAGCGTTAGGATATCACCTTCGCGGACTGGACCCTTGACGTTGCGGATGATTTGGCGGTTCTGTTCACTGATGAATTCCACCTTCACCTGGGTACACTGGCCCTGGGAACCGGTACGGCCGAGGACCTTGATGACGCGAGCCAAAACGACGGACTTATCCATGATTTTTCGGGATTTTAACGCAGCACACGTGTGACCACTAGCAACAAAACACGGCAAAAGAGCGAGAAAGTGACAGCTGCCGGAGTAAATTTGATAGATCGAACCGTAAAATTTATTTAATGACAGTCTTTGAAACAAATTAAGTTGGCTGCTTTGGACCGGGAAATTTCCGGTCTAGCCCCAGTGGTCGAAAGTTGGATGCAATTTAAATTTTCCGTTGGGACCAAGGCCTGTATAGAGATCGAAGGGAAGTGAAAATCTCATAAATAAAATACTCGATTTTTCATTAGCGTGAAAATGCAATTAGGTTGTTTAGGGGTGTTGACTAGGGTGTTGAGGTAAATACATATTCGTAATCTGCATTAATGTAACATCGAAAAATATTTTGATCGGAAGGAGATTACGTCAAAAAGCTAAGAGCAAATTTTCATTACGTCGAGAGTAACAAAGGTAAACAAAGTCGAGCTATCAGTGTAAATCAATACTGTCCGAATCAGGATATAGGATCACATCCCATTTTTAAATTTATTTACCAACCAAATTGCTTTTTGACGTAATCACCTTCCGATCACAATATTTTTCGATGTTACTTAAGACACCCGATTTCTATGGAGATGCCGTTTGTCTTAAGTAACAGCGCCTAGAACAGCGCAGAGAAACCCGTGAAAAGTGTACGTGCGTCGTTTCGCTTTCTCATCATTAAAGTGAATAAATCGAACTGTTTGTTGCCGAGTTTGTTGCTAAGATGATTTCGGTGGTCCATAAATGATGTATGAGTTGCACGTAAGGAGACGTGATTGATAATTCTCCCGAATATCCTGGTAAATACACTTTTGACTTAAGTAACATTAGGGGACCACCAAATGACGTATAATAACTTGAAATGAACATGAAAGTTGGGGATCTGCTTTGTATGATTAAAACCCTGCTTAATATGTTAAACATTGCTATCACTATGAGATTACATGTGTTTAATTGGAAATAGAATAACTTTTCGGTCGTCAAAACAAAACATAATATTTCTCGGATCGGGCGAATGTTACTTTCGAAATAATGAACATTTGCTCTTGATATAGTGTAATAGCAGGAGCATCGATTGACACTGATAGCTCGACTTTGTTTACCTTTGTTACTTTCGACTTAATGAAAATTTGCTCTTGATTTCATTATGGGCGACGCAGTCGACTCACCGACGAACCGACATGCCACAGGAGCATTTCGTTTGTCCACAATTCGAATTGTCAGACGAGCGATTCGAACTTTCAAACGGGCGATCAGATTTGTCAAACGAGGTGAGACGCAAACCAAGGCAATATAAATTAAACGTGGGTTCGTATCCTTGCTCATGGTATGAAGCGATGGGATGAGTAGATGTCGGTGGTGTTTAGCGTATTTTAAATATGGCGTCTTGGGCATACATTTAAAAGTAGCTTGAGATGAGCTGTCACGTCGGTTCGTCGGTGGTTTACTATCTAAGTACAAGACAATAGATTCCCTGTTGGTAAAACCATAGAGGTAACTCTAAGACCACTGGGTCCCGAACAAAATCATTATTATTTTTGGCTCACTCAGTACTAGAGCAACGGTCCCAAGCAGTCCCAAGCTATTTCACTCACCCCTGCATGTTCTGCATGAATCCACACACCCCTGATGTTATCTGTCAAACTTTCATAGCGAATCAAAACAAACATAGTGTAGTAATAGAATTTCAACTAGAATAGGGTACGTTAATCGTTTGCTTGGGACCAATAGGCTACTAAAGTGGTGAGCCAATTTAAAATCGTTAGTTTCGTATTGATTGTTGGTAAAACTCTCGCGTTTCTATACGTTTGCCCGACCAGGCGCTGGTTCGCGTTTGACAGAAAATTGGTTCATAATGCCAACCGGTGGCAACTAACGATTATAAATTGGCTCACTAGTTGGCTCACTTGACTAGCCTATTGGTCCCAAGCAAATCGATTAAAGTACCCCATTCTAGTCGAAATTCTAGTACTACACTATGTTTGTTTTGATTCGCGATGAAAGTTTGACGGATAAAATGAGGCGTTCGTGGATTTTTCTATGTTTCGAGGGATGCATCATAGAGGTAACTCTAAGACCACTGGGTCCCGAAGAAAATCATTATTATTTTTGGCTCACTCAGTACCAGAACAACGGTCCCAAGCAGTCCCAAGCTATTTCACTCACCCCTGCATGTTCTGCATGAATCCACACACCCCTGATGTTATCTGTCAAACTTTCATAGCGAATCAAAACAAACATAGTGTAGGAATAGAATTTCAACTAGAATAGGGTACGTTAATCGTTTGCTTGGGACCAATAGGCTACTAAAGTGGTGAGCCAATTTAAAATCGTTAGTTTCGTATTGATTGTTGATAATACCATACACAGCAAAAAAAAATGTAATATCGATCAGTGTAATTCAAGCTAATGTATGAAATAATGATGTAATAGCAAAAAGCAGATACAATATTACATCAATGGATGTAATTTTGTTCGCAAAATCGATGTACATCGTACAACGTTATATTACACAACCGATGGATTGACCTGGTTGCAGCAGTTTGGATGTAATATTCAACAACTTTTTTCTGTGTAGAGGTAACTCTAAGACTAGAAGGTCCCGAAGAAACGTGCTCAACTTTTTGGCTCAGCTCTGGTACCACAAACGAAGTGACAGACGGAGCGGCTCGAAAACTTTGGTGACTAACCTGCTATTGCAATTTTTCAGTGTACCACATGGCAACACCACTACTACTGGATTGTACCAACAATCAATACGAAACTAACGATTTTAAATTGGCTCACCACTTTAGTAGCCTATTGGTCCCAAGCAAACGATTAACGTACCCTATTCTAGTTGAAATTCTATTACTACACTATGTTTGTTTTGATTCGCTATGAAAGTTTGACAGATAACATCAGGGGTGTGTGGATTCATGCAGAACATGCAGGGGTGAGTGAAATAGCTTGGGACTGCTTGGGACCGTTGTTCTGGTACTGAGTGAGCCAAAAATAATAATGATTTTCTTCGGGACCCAGTGGTCTTAGAGTTACCTCTATGATTGTACCACATGGCAACACTACTACTAGATTGAACTAGCATTTTCACCAAATGTACTAGAATGTTTTGGTTCTATCTCTTTCACTCTACTCAAAACTGAAATGCATAAAAAAATGACAAAATGATACGCACTCTTTGCACACTGTCAAAGAATCATTGTACACAAAATCAACTTTGTTCAAATCAAAACAAAAAAACTAACCCATCTGGTGGATGATGGCACAAGCTTCCAAGAAAATTCTATTACAGTGAACCACATTATTTAAATGGATTTCTTCGCCAGTAAGTCGTCTGTCACTTCGTTTGTGCTGGTACTCTCTTCGGTCCCAAGCTAATCGATTCACCCCTCGAAACATAAGAAAATCCAATAACCCCTCATTTTATCTGTCAAACTTTCATAGCGAATCGAAACAAACATGGTGTAGTACTAGAATTTTGACAAGAATGGGATACGTTAATCGATTTGCTTGGGACCAATAGCACAAACGAAGTGACAGACGGAGCGGCTCGAACACTTTGGTGACTAACCTGCTATTGCAATTTTTCAGTGTACCACATGGCAACACCACTACTACTGGATTGTACCATAGAGGTAACTCTAAGACAAGTAGGTCCCAAAGAAACGTGCTCAACTTTTTGGCTCACCTCTGGTACTATCTTCGGTCCCAAGCTTGTCGAATCACCCCTCGAAACATAGGAAAAACCAATAACCCCTCATTTTATCTGTCAAACTTTCATAGCGAATCAAAACAAACATTGCGTAGTACTAGAATTTCGACTAGAATAGGGTACGTTAATCGTTTGCTTGGGACCAATAGGCTACTAAAGTGGTGAGCCAATTTAAAATCGTTAGTTTCGTATTGATTGTTGATAATACCATAGAGGTAACTCTAAGACTAGAAGGTCCCGAAATAACGTGCTCAACTTTTTGACTCAGCTCTGGTACTCTCTTCGGTCTCAAGCTAATCGATTCACCCCTCGAAACATACGAAAAACCAATAACCCCTTATTTTATCTGTCAAACTTTCATAGCGAATCAAAACAAACATTGCGTAGTACTAGAATTTCGACTAGAATAGGGTACGTTAATCGTTTGCTTGGGACCAATAGGTTAGTCAAGTAGTGAGCCAATTTAAAATCGGCGAATGAGAACGACCCAAATTTGAGTTTAGTTCATTCATAATCGCCCAGGCCAGTGACAAGACCTATACTAACAGCAGCGTTTGACAGTAGGAAGCATGTCCCGGGCTCAAATCGTTTATTTTGCTGTTCTGGGCCCGCTGTCACTGTATAACATGTTGCCTACGCGCCTGCCACTGGGCTGTAATCGCCAAAAGTTCAGGAACTCAGCGATGAGTAAATTTGCCTCATGTTTTCCCAGGATTTTCCATTGAAAAATTCCCGAATTTGAGAAAAGTAAACATTGGATTCACTCAGTCTATTGGTACTACTCCGAGACAGATTTTTTAGGTTTTCCACAGGAAACCATGAGACAAATTTTACTCATCGCTGAGTTCCTGCACTTTTGGCGATTATGAGTGAACTAAACTCAAATTTGGGTCGTTCTCATTCGCCGTGCAACAATATTTCACGATCTGCTTCACCTCTATCTGTACTCATTGGGCTTTAACAAAAACCTTTCAGTTCCAGTGATGCCACATATACAGATTTATCTACAATGTAATACAGATATTTTGACAATTTTGGATGCAGAAATCTCTAAATACGCTAAATACTGACTTGTACAGATATGTGAATAATGAAACAGATTTATACAGATTTTTTGAAAAAAAAAATATATATATATATTACAGACTTTTGAGCTAAACCAACGCAAATTTTTTTTTTAAACTCAAAATACATATGCAAACTCGGAAAAAGGTGGCATCACTGGTCAATTCAGTTCGCTTCTTTTCTCTGTTTACGTCAAGTTTTCGTTTGTTGATAGCTAATTTTATTCGATCCTATCGATCCTATCTAAATACAAAAATTGTTACTCTAGATATTTGTTTACAAAGACGATGGATTTCGACAACGTCTGCCGTCTTTGCGCGGCAGAGAAACTCAAGCTCAGAGAAATCTCCAACGACGAACGACACCCTCAACTGGTCCATCAGTTGCGGAGCATTCTGCAAGTTGATGTAGGTAGTCAATGCGATTTTACACCAATTCAAAATCTTTTAAGTCATGTAAATTTTTCAGTACGATGAAAACGACGGCCTTCCTCAGAAGGTGTGTAAACCGTGCATCAATGCATTGCAGAAGATTCAGGACACTCTGGACGAGTACCGCAGCAATGATATGAAAATGAGAAAACAGCTTCTCAACTTAGATGAAGTCGAAGTAAAGCTGGAAGAACTGGTCGAAGGGGAAAGCGGCGACGCCCTGGGGGCGTACAGTTTGAAGAATGTGTAAGTTTCATGAGTTTGCTATTGCTTCATAAATTAATGCATGTTTCCTGGTAGGAAAATCGAGGTTCTTGAGGTAGTCGCCGATATAGACTCTATATCAGAGATTGAGGCAGCTGAGGAATGGCTTGAAGATAATTCTGGAGATGAAGAGAAGAAAAACCAAGCAAACGAATCTCCAACGGGTGTCAAGCGCCGTCGGGTGCGAAATGACGAATTTATCACATTCGAAGTGGAAGATGGTTCCGTTGGAGAAGAAACCGCTACTGAAGATGAAACCGCACCTATGATGAAAAAAAGGCAAGTACGAAAAGCAAATTCTATCAAGAAAGTTCGTCGAAAGCGAGGTACTAAACAGCCTGAAGATCCAAATAGACCGCGTTTGAATGATTACAAATGTTACATATGCAAAAGCGAACCACTTGGATCGGCTAAAGCATTGCTAGACCATTTAAGCTCCCACATTGATCAGTTACCGTATACGTGTGCGATCTGCGTGCAAGAAACGATTGAAATCAAGCAGATCCGGTCATTGAATTTGCACCTAAAAATGCACGAACAGCCGAGTAAATGCGCCTATTGTGATCGCCGGTATGCCAACGAACGGGCCCGAGACTATCATGTACAAACGTATCATCTGGGAGATAACGCCCCCTGTCCATCCACTTGTGACCAGTGCGGCAAGGTATGTCCCTCGGCTCTGTCATTGCGTACGCACATGCGATGTCACACCATCTCATTTAGCTGCGAGTACTGCTCCAAAACTTTCGCACAAAAGTCCAAACTGAAGCGCCATATCGTAAGGGTTCACGAAAAGACCGAAGGGTACGAGTGTACTATCTGCCAGAAGCGCCTCAACACGATCGATGCGTATGAGCTACACGTTCGCACCATCCACGAAGGGCGGCGCGATCACGAGTGCGACGTGTGTGGCCGCCGTTTTACGACGGCTGCCTTCCTAAGGATGCATCAGAAGCAGTACGAGGGTGGAGTTTGTAAGCCGAAGAACAATTGGAAAGCACATTATACGACTAGGATCAATGAGGAAGGTATAAAGCTGTTTAGCTGCAAGATATGCAACAAACAAGATATGCGTGCCATTAGCGAACACTTGCGGGTGCATTTCCCCGGAGAACATGAATGTCCGGTTTGTTTCGCCAAGTTTCCTCGAAAATCGTCCTTCGACAGGCATCGACTGACGCACAGCGAGATAGCACACAGCTGTTTTAGCTGTGCTAAAAATTTCCTCTCTCTTCGAACGCTCTCCTGTCACTTGGCTAAAGTGCACGGTATTGGACAGATTTTGGAGACCGACTTAACGGTCGTTTCGGAAGACGAAGAAATAGATTTTGATGTCGTAGAATAGGTAAGTCCATTTAATTAAACGAATTTAGATGTCGATAATTTGCGCACTGGTAGATCTCTGCTTCGAAATCCAATTTTCAATAATTACTAACCTGACTGAAGAGACTGTTCTGGCAGGTCCCAGAGGGCATCACTTGGGACCCCAGAGGATGAAAAGGTACCGGCAGGTGAGGTCCAACTGCAGTCGGGTGTGGATAGTTGGTTGGCATGTCGGAAGAGTACGACGAACTGGATGTTTCTTCCACCGATGGTCGATGCTCAGCTAGGGGTAAAGGTTGAACCTGCATTGGCGGTATTGCAGCGGCGGTATCTGAGGTTGCTTCCAGTGGTGTCATGTCGGTGTCGGACGAGGTTTGTTTACTGCCGGCAGGTCTGTCCTTTCGGAAGCGTTTGTACAGTTGTACGCCTTCTATCTGCATGCCATGAGCGCGGATTTTATGCTGGGTTAGCAAGAAGTTAAATCTGAAAAATGGAGGTTAATTCATGACAGAAAAGGAAAAATATAGTAGCCTACCTACAGAATGTTTCTAACATCATCACAGAAAAAGAAAATTGGAATGTAGGTACCCACGTAAAAAAGGGTTGGGTGTATACCCTAATAAAATTTTGTATGGTTATTTTGCTTAACGACATGTTCAAAAAGATAAAAGCTTGAAGAGCGACATGGTCTTGGCATTAAAGCTTCCGGAATCACACGATCTGTCGGTCTTTGGCAGCAGACCTCAGTTCGATATCCAAAATGTTCTATAATGCTAGAGATCTGTCGAAACTGAAATGAGTTTAATAAACGTCCACTTACCTGTATCCCGCTCCGCAAATGTCGCACGTCAGCTGCTGTCCGGTGTGTCGCCAGACGTGCAACCGCAGCTCGTTCGCGGCCATAAACTTCTTGCCACAGTACGAACACTCATGCTTGTACGAGCTTGAGTTGTGCTTTCGCATGTGCTTATTGAGTGCATTCTTCCAGGTGCACTTGACGCCGCAAATCTCGCACTCGAAAATTTTCTTCTGGTGCAGAGACTCTATGTGCATCGTAACGTCCCGCTTGGAGTAGAACTTCTTATCGCACATGCTGCACGGATAGTCCCGCTGATCGTTGTGGTACTTCATGTGCACGAAGAACGAGCCCCGCGTTGACAGGATCTTGCCGCAGATCGAGCACATGTGGTCGCGCTCTTTACCGGAAGGTTTGGATTTCCTGATTAGCTCGGAATGAGACGCCCGATGACCCGCCATTTGGCGGCGTTGTTTGCATTTAAAATCGCAAAATTCGCACTCGTAGATGTCCTTAACCTTCTTTTTCTCGTCCCACTGGGCTCTTTTGTGCTTATAACCAGAGTGTTTCTTCTTGTGACTGGCCAACTGTATTATTCGCGTACACGTGTATGGACACTCGGAACATTTGAGGATTTCGGAAGAGTTGTTTTCTTCCGAAGAATCATCCGACTGGGAAGTTTTGTGAGATTGCTCCTCTTGATTCTCCACTTCTTTCGACTTGTCATTTTTTGGTAGTTCCTCTTGCATCAACTGCTGTTTCTTCTTTTTATGCTTCTTCCTGTGACTGTCCATCTGGACAGCTTTGGTACATGTGAAATCACAATAGGAACAGCTAAACTTTCTTTGCGGGATTATGTCGCGATGCTTCTTCATGTGACTAGCTAGCTGTATTCGTCTCGAACAGTTAAAAGAACAGTAAGAGCATTTCAGTTCATTTTCCGTTAACTCTTGCTTGAATTTCACCGCCAACGGAATGTCATCTTCCGTGTCTGAGAAGTTATCATCCCGATCGCTCATTCCTCCCAAGCTAGCCACTTCCACTTTTATTTCAGATTGAATGCTATCCACTAGAATTTCCCCAAATTCATCCATCTCGGATTTGACTTCCGGTTTTGTTTTGGGATCCGCAGGCTTCAAAGCCCGCTTCCTAGCAATGTCCTCTAGTTCCCTGGTAGCTTTGGCGCAATTACGAATGAACCTTATCGTCAGCTTGATGTGCATAATACATTCGTCGCATGCCAGATTGGACAAGCCTCGGTCGTTTCCATCGGACAGTAGAAGGTTAAGAAACTTCCCAGCGTCCTCCGATCGGTTGATATCGTTTATGTTGGTTCCCATCAGTTCGCTGAACAGCTTCCGGGCACAAAACCGACAGAAATACTCCGAATCTGGATGAAACAACTCACCGTTGAGATACTGCGATGGGACGGCATCCGCCGAGCGTCGGAAGCTACTCTCGTCCTGCAGAATGTCCTTACTTTCGAAGTGGCTCCAACAGACGAAAGCCAATTCCGGGACGGTCCATGATTCCGGTTTGCCCAGGGCTTTGATCCATTGTCGGCGCAGGTCTTCGGCCTTCGGAAAGCAGAATAGGACCGTACCGAAGTCCCTGTTGGACGCTTCACAGTTGGTCACAGCACAGCATTTAGCCATGCTGGGTGATCTGGGCAAGGGAGTATTGTGCACTATGTTCGTAGCACTTTTTCCAACGTGAACTGCTTACAATAGAAGAATTCAGAATAATTATTAAGATTTTGTCGCGTCAGGAAAATATGTGTTTACCTCATAAAATGAATGACAACAAAACACTGTTTGGGGATGTCTTGACTCTTGACGTATAGCTGAAGCGGAACGTTTTCGACAGTGCTGGTCAAACACATTGTGTTACTGCTATGACTATGACGTCAACTCTGACTAATAATTCAGGCGTTACATTTGAAAACGGCACGAAAGCTTTTGTGAACAAAAGTCCTAAGGCCCTTTACGCGTGAACCGAAGTACTCCCACGCAAACCAATACCACTATCGGAAAGGAGGAATTTTCCACTTAGCTAATATGTTTCCCCACTAACTTGGGATGCAGTAGTAAATACCACATTCTGAGGTTTGAGCTGCATGTGGAGAAACGGTTTCCACTGAAGTAAAATAATCGAAAAATAGATTCAATGGTATGATGACTTTCGACGATGTCAAATGTTGTGCCTTTTTCTTCCACAATGATGCTGCAAAGCCATCGTTAGATGAAGGAAGGTTATCCAAAGCAGTATCCATAACGTCCTTCGATTCCAAATATTTCCGAAGATGGAATTTGATAGGCATTAATATTTCTGAAATTATGACAAAATTGCTTTATGTACATTATGTAGATTTACAATCACACACTTGTCAGACCGTCACTCCACGTGGCGATCTAGTGTGCTGTGCGCGCCGCATACAGACGTCAACAGTAACACACGGTGGGGTTGGATTCGTGTTTTATGTAACCGTTAATTTAATTGACGATCAAAATCTTGTGTTTAGAACAAAATTGCAACAAAACTAACCGAGATAGAAAGTTGGTGTCAAAGAGAGAATTGCAGAGCGCTTCGAGAGGCATAATTTAGTTGGACAAAACAATACACTTGATTACGTATCTTTTGAAATAATAAGAGAAAACACCTATTTTAGACATGTGTATATCTTAACTGTAACTAAATGCCTCGCTAAATGCAGCTTACTTGAAGTAGAAAGGACACTATTAAGGAGGAAATTGTCTTAGCTGTCCACCCGCATAAACGCGAACCATAACTTGACCTTACCGAAAATGGTTAAAAACTGTTTATAATCCCTACTAATCTTTACCTGAAATGGTTATAGAACTTTACATGAACCCTGGATTGTACGACTTTTCCCCGAAAACACTTTCCCCGAAAGTTATTGCCCCGAATGTAACGTTTCCCCGAAATACAATTCCCCGAATGGCACAGTTCCCAGAAAATAATTTCCCCGAATGTACCATTTCCCCGAATCTGCGTATCTTCGCTGGTTAACTACTTGTATCGAACAATACCACAATAAACATATTAATGTGCGTCGAATAAAGACAATAGTTTGACTTTCGTTAAAACAAAATGTAAAGGTCAAGCTCCTGAAATCGGTGTAATCCTATTTCAGCAGCTTTTGACCTTTCCATGTAGTTTTAACGAAAGTCAGACTTTTGTCTTTATTCAACACATATTGATTTCTTCGTGCTCCATACAATTTTAGATTCACCCTATAAGGAGTCGCTATGTGACTAATATGTATTGACGAGTGCACGGATGGATTTGAGTTCACTCACTCGACAAAAAGTGACACAAGAGCGGGGCCCTGTTTACTAAAAATGAACACATATGTGTTCATTTTTAGTAAACAGGGCCCCGCTGTTGTGTCACTTTTTGTCGAGTGAGTGAACTCAAATCCATCCGTGCACTCGTCAATGGCATGGGGACGCATGATATCTTTTCTTTGTATGGAGTTTTTTTTCAACGGTCGTACCTATCAAACAAACACACACATTGTAAAGGGTGATACGGTCAAAATTTGGTCAATATCAACTTGACGTATTTCTTTCAATTTTGCATTTAAAAAACCTGAACACCCCTCATTTTGAAGGTGTGTGTGTGTAGAATGTTGCTCCTATTTTGATTTTGGAATTCACTCTTCAGTTGTCAAAATGCCGTCCAAGCAAGAAGAGCAGCGTATCAAAATTTTGCTCGCGTATCGCGAAAATCCGAGCTACTCGCACGCAAAGTTGGCAAAATCGCTAAAAGTTGCCAAATCAACCGTTACAAATGTAATTAAAGTGTTTGGGGAACGTTTGTCGGCAGCCAGGAAGTCTGGATCGGGGGGAAATCGAAAACCGGAAGCCGCTGAGACGACAAAGAGAGTTGCCGGTAGTTTCAAGCGAAACCCTAACCTCTCTCTCCAAGATGCCGCAAATAAGCTGGGTGTATCGTCTACAACCGTGCATCGAGCCAAAAAACGAGCCGGACTATCGACTTACAAGAAGGTAGTGACTCCAAATCGCGATGATAAACAAAATACGACGGCCAAAGCGCGATCCCGGAGGCTGTACACGACGATGCTGACGAAGTTTGACTGCGTGGTAATGGACGACGAAACCTACGTCAAAGCCGACTACAAGCAGCTTCCGGGACAGGAGTTTTATACGGCAAGAGGAGGAGAGACCTAGAAAATTTTCAGCCGTCAATTTTTGCTCCGTTTTTTCTAGACTTTTGTGTAGTTGTAATTAGTGTTCCTTCAACTATTTGCCACCCCAGAGTTCTTAAACCACTGATCATCTCGGAACCTAGCACCATTGGTTGTTCTTTGTGGCTCTTTGTGTTCCTTACAAGTGGGTCAGATTCTCCGATTAGCAGCCTGAATCCATTCAGCCACAATTGTGCTTTCATCATCTGACTAATCAACTGATTGGCCATACAGGATTTTTGGTTCGCTTGTCCGATACTAAGAATAGGAAAACCTATTTTCGAGCCCAGTCAACCAACCGTTGAGTATGGAGATCACTGTAACAAGACATCGTTCATGGATCAATTTGGTGAGTCCGTTGCAATTTATTCTGGTGCTAATAATTGGCAGGATCCAATATTGGACAGTTTGATGTTTATAAAGTACTATCAGTTAAAACTGTGTTTTTGAGATTTGTCTATATATATTCTTTGGTGCTTCCTACATCGGTTGCAGGAGAGTGTTACCGATTTATATTGGATAATCCAAAGCTATGTTGATCATTATAACATTAAATTTTGAATAACAACCCTAATAAACAAATACCATAAACGAACTGTATCTCGGATAGGTAAACCATCCCACATAGGGTTTGGATGATACCCCGAACACGTCGTTAAGCTCTCTTTTATGGTTATTTTTATTAGGGAAATGATAAGACAATCTTATTCAAATGTCGTAATAATACCTCTGACCAAGGAAGAATGATTTATATAGTTTTCATAAAAGTTGACGATACAAATACTAATGAGGAAAGGAATTCCGCATTTCCTTTTCCCAAGTCCTTTTTCTCTCCTTCCCTTCCCTTCTTCTCTTTTCAGAAAGCGAGTAATGGCGCTATAACCATATGCCATATAGGGCTAGGACAAGAGTTAGTGCTCAGGTCCCAACCGCTAGAAGAAAATGGTAGCGAGCAAGGGCGCTATAACCTAGGCGAATACAGCATTCCCTCCGTATAGGTTACGTCCGCACACCGCTCTCTGTTGTCCTTCGACTGAGGTCGGCTGGATCGATTGAGGGATGGCAGTGGGTTGGCGGTGCCGTCCACGCTTGTACGGAGGGAGGTCTGTACGCTCGAACACAAGGGGTAAATACCTGTGTTCCATCCCAGGAGATCGGACAATCAAGGAGTGTACATTAACTTTCTTAGCTCTGTCACTCCCAACGATTTATATAGCCTATTTTCAAATCCTGCATACGGAGCGGTTGGTACGGTATGTCCCCGCTCTTTGATTACCTGTGGATTAAATGTTAACCACTGTCTATACTTATTAAGTAGACATGGTAAACATTCACTTCCACAAAAATTAACTTAACGCTACACAGTAGGCCTGGCCGCTTTATTGTTTGTTTCACATCCTTGATGTGCAGCAGGCATTAATAATGACAAGAAAAATGATAGATGTATCATTTTCCAGGATTCTTTCAAGTACTGGCTGTGTATGTGTAGACTAGACTAGACTAGACTAGGAGTTTTATACGGCAAGAGGAAGGGGAAAGGTAGCAGATGTTTTCAAGCACATGAAACTGTCAAAGTTCGCAAAGAAATATCTGGTTTGGCAAGCCATCTGTACCTGTGGCTTGAAAAGCAGCATTTTCATAGCTTCCGGGACTGTCAACCAAGAAATTTACGTGAAAGAGTGTTTGAATAAACGTCTGCTGCCTTTCCTGAAGAAACACGGTTGTTCCGTACTGTTTTGGCCGGATTTGGCATCTTGCCATTACGGTAAAAAGGCCATGGAGTGGTACGCCGCCAACAACGTGCAGGTGGTTCCCAAGGACAAGAACCCTCCCAACACGCCAGAGCTCCGCCCAATTGAGAAATACTGGGCTATTGTCAAGCGGAACCTAAAGAAGACCAAAAAAACTGCTAAGGGCGAGCAGCAGTTCAAGGCAAACTGGCTTTCTGCGGCGAAGAAGGTGGACAAGGTGGCTGTACAAAATCTGATGGCAGGGGTCAAGCGTAAGGCCCGGCAATTCGGATTTGGAAAAGCGGAAGCCTAACTGAATATTTTTCCTGAATTTTATACTAATTGAACTTGAAAAAGAAATTTAATTTGATTTTTTAAATAAACGATTTCACCGATTTACACGCGTTTTCCCTTGACCAAATTTTGACCGTATCACCCTTTATGCAATTAGCTCCATGGATCATACCATATTATACGTCAAAGAATGAACTATGATTCAAAGAAGGAAAATTTCTTGCGACAAGCAAAATTTTCCCTTCTTTGTATCACAGCTCGTTCTTTAACGTTTTGAAGAATAAATATCTTACTAATTTATCCAAGCGATATCTCATTGTAATAAAATTGATGAACGAGCCGTGATACAAAGAAAGGAAAATGATATCTCTTTGATAAAACCAATTAGATACCCTAATAAAAAATTACCATAAACGAACGATAACCCAAATGTGTGAACTATTCCACAAATGGTTTGGATGATACCCAGAACACGTCGT